TAGTTACTGCCTCTAGGACTGAGGTAGAGTAGCAAGGATGGAATGCGTTTAGATCATTTCTGGCTCTCCAGCCAGACTGAGATTCACATATTGTTAGAGAGTATGTCGTCTACTGGATGCTGGAGAGGCTTGAGGTGCTCCAGATGTTTGTAGCCAAGCATAAAACTTCCAATAACAAACTTACTACAAAGCCACTTACTAATTTGGCGAAGAAGTCAACTGGGGCATTGGCAAAATTTTCTGGAAAACTTAGCTGAAGCCTGCTGAGTAGCTGTCCTGTGGGGAATACTGTCATTGTGTGAAGAGTGTGTTTGTGTGTGAGATGGGGGGAGGGCACGCTGATGTACACACTTAAAGGCCTATACTGGAGTAAGCAGGCAAGCACAATATAATTGGAAGAGAAGATCCTTCTGGAATATTCTCCCAAGTGATATTAACTTAATACAATTTAGCATTGTTCCAGCTGATAAAGGAGAAACATGTTCAGGGGATAACTGTGTTACATAAAATAAGGCAGGGAACTCCCACTTAAAGGCCTGTACTGGAGTGGCAGGCAAGTACAATGTAATTGGAAGAGAAGACCCTTCTGGAATATTCTTCCAAGGGATACTAACTTAGTAAAATTAAGCATTGTTCCAGCTGATAAAGGAGAGACATGTTCAGGGGCTAACTGTGTTTCATAAAACAAGGCAGGGAACTGCTTTTCACTTGAGAGACAATTCTGTAACTGATAGACTCACGTATTTATAGTGTGCCGTTCATTTGTTAGGGTTGGTCCTAATTTCCTTATGGTGTAATTTTCCTTGAAGAAATCCCTTTAAGTATCTCTTACAAATACAGGCCTGCTGGCGATTAATTCTTACAGCTTTTGTACATCTGAACAATTCTCATCTTGTCTTTGATTTTGATAGGTTTGATATGCAGGTTTTAGTATTCTAGGTTGACATTTTACCCTTTCAGCATTTAAAAAAAATATATTTGTGGGCTGGGCATGGTGAGGCACGCCTTTAATCTTAGCACTTGGGAGGGAGAAGCAAGCGGATCTCTATGAGTTCAAGACCAGCCTGGTCTACATAGTGAGTTCTAGGTCAGCTGGGACTACAGGGAGACCCTGTCTCAAAAAGACCAAAATATTTGTGTGCTGTGACACAATGTATGGAGGTTGGAGGACAATTTGGAGGAGTCCATTATCACTTTCTACCATGTGGGCTCTGGGGTCATCAGGTATGGTAGCACTCACCTTTACTCATTATATTGATTAAGCTGGTCTTGATCTCATAGAGATCCGAATACCTTTGACTACAGAATGCTGGGATTAAAGGCATGTGCCACCATGCCTGGCCTATTTTTTATTTATTTATTTTTATTTAAACATTTATTTTAGCTGGTGTGGTGGCACCAGCCTGTAGTCCCGGCACTTTGGAGGTACCATCACATTTTCTTTTTATTTTGACATATGGTTTATATGAAAGTATGTTCAACTACCAAATTTTGTCATTACTATTGCCTTGTTAGAGATTCCTAATACGTCAGAGGTCAGATAATACATTGCTTATTAACCCAATTATTTTATTTTTACTGATACATTTAAAAATTTTTTAATTAAAAAAATGATGTGTATGAGTGTTTTGCCTGCATTTCTCTAAGTGCACTGCATGCATGCGGTGCCTGTGAAGGCAAGAAGAGGATGTTGGGTCCCCTGATACTGGTGTTGTGGATAGTTGTTTTTTGCCATGTGAATGCTGGGAACTGATCCCTGGGGTCCTTAATTGTTGCACTGTGTCTTCAACCTTTACCATCTCTCTAGCCTTACAGAATGTTTTGTTGTTTTGAGACAGGTTCTCCCTGTAGTTCCTGCTGGCCTGGAACTCACAGAGATCCGCCTGCCTCTGCCTCTGCTGGGATTAAAGATGTGCTCCACCACGCCCGACTCAAATGTTTTTGCAATTAATGAATTTAGGGCTAGAGAGATGGCTCAGCAATTAAGAACACTGACTTCTTGCAGAAGACCCTGGTTTGAATCCCAGCACCCATATGGCAACTAACATCTGTCCATAATTCCAGTTCTAGGGGATCCGGTAGCCTCTTCTGCCCTCCACGGGCATTGCATGACACAGGTGTACTTACCTACATGCAGGGATAACACTCATACACATAAAATAAAAATAATAAATTAGCCGGGTGTGGTGGCCTACTCAGCCACTACATAATCCAGCACCCGGGAGGCAGAGGCAGGCAGATCTCTGTGAGTTTAAGGCCAACCTGGTCTATATAGTGAGTTCCAGGACAGCTGGGGCTACAGGGTGACCCTGTCTCAAAAGAGACCAAAAAAAAAAAAATATTATTTTTTAAATTAATGAATTCAGCATGGTTTCAAGTGAAAAGGTTAAAAAAAAAAAATCCAGTTACACTTTTGTGCACCAGCAGCAAATAATTGAAATGAAAGCTTTTTTCAATTGTATGTATTGCAATACCGTATGTATCATCAATGCCAATTTTTCTTCCAAAACAGTATAAAATTGTAGTTTGATTTTTGTGTGTGCTGGCAGATACCTTTAAACCCAGTACTCAGAAGTCAGAGGCTGGCAGCTGATTCCTGTGAAATCAAGGTCAGCCTGATCTACATAGTGAGTCCAGGCCGTCTGGGGCTACAGGGAGACCCTGTGTCAATAAAAGGATTTTTAGTTTCATTGGTTGAGCATGAAAGTCAAGGGACAATATTGTGAGAAACTGGTTTCTTTGTGGCTTACAGTCACACCACCTTTTCTCTTTTATTCTCTAGGAGCTAATCGAATGGAATGACAGGTGGAGTGACTTTCATGACTTCATTTCCATTGACTTGATTTCTTTTTTTTTTTAGGTCTTTTTGAAGCAGGGTCTCCCTGTAGCCCCAGCTGTCCTGGAACTCACTGTGTAGACCAGGCTGGCCTCAAACTCACAGAGATCCACCTGTCTCTACCTCCCAAGTGCTGGGACTACAGGTGTGCACCACCACGCCCAGCTTGGTTTGATTTCTTTTTAATGCTTATATAATTGAATTCAATTAAGCTAAATATGCTTTCTAAATCATTACACATTTTCAAAAATTTTCAACTTGTTTTGGAATTATCAGTTCACCAGTATGTATCTGTTATTCACCCTGTTATTAATTTTTCTGTATTGTGTCGGTGTGATTAACATCGGCTGTTCATATTTTCAGTGAGAGAAGTTTTCATTGGTCACATTGCCTCACCTCTCTTCTCTTTTGGGATTACGTTTGAGATTGTTGTTAGGTCTACTGGTTTAGTCGTGCATGTCGCATAGATTATTGTTTCTATTTTTTTTGTCATTTTGCTTTATTGTAATTACTAAACCACTTTACCATTGTTGTGGCCAATAAGTTTTTATTTTGGCAGACATTTTCTCATTTTCAAAAATTTTCTTGTCCTTTTTTTCTTTTTAAAAATAGAACCTCTCAATTTAATCTAAAATGCTTTTTTATGGTTTTTTTTTTTTTTGCAAATTACCTGTTCCCTTCTTGAATAGTTTTCTTTTTGTCTGCCTTACATCCTCTCTGTCACAGAGTTTTCAGAAACCTGGGATTTTTAGGTTCCTGTACATATTTGTGAATAACAGATACTATTAATTGCCATAGCTAGCTTGTGTTTTCTCTGCAGGTAGTTAAGTAATTTTTTTTTTTTTTTTTTTTGCCTTTTTTGAGACAGGGTCTCCTTGTAGCCCCAGCTGCCCTAGAACTCACCATGTAGATCAGGCTGGCCTCGAACTCACAAAAAGATCCGCCTGCCTCTGCCTCCCAAGTGCTGGGATTAAAGGCGTGTGCCACCACGCAAGTAATTATTTTAAGAGGCACAGGCCTTAAAATCTCAGCACGCAGGCGACAGAGACAGGCGGATCTCTGTAGGTTCAAGGCCAACCTGATCTACATAGTGAGTTCTAGGCCCGTTGGGGCTACAGGGAGACCCTGTCTCCAAATAAAAAAAAAGAATTGTCCTGAATAGAAGGGCTGACTCTGTTACCAAAGGGCAGGGCTTATACAGAAGGAGAGTTCCTTTTGTTCTTAGCATTGGTTTATAAAGTATGCAGAGAAGCAGGAAGCTGGAATACTTAAACTACTTGCCAAAGCAAGGAGGCCACTTGGGACAAAGCAGCTACTTCTTTTGTCCCTTGATAGAGTTGCCTATAAATTCCTTTGTTTCAGTTTCTGCTTGGTGTCTGTTTTAAAGGTCTAGTATCACCCCCGATTAGGCACTACTTGGACCCTAACATACTCAGTAGGAGCCATCACTGTACAGTAACATGGTTCACTTTAATTTTAAGAACAAGTTTCTGGATGTAGACTAAGAATAAAACCTATAATTGCCAATTGTTCCATTCAATTTTGATAAATTTTATAGTTCTCCACAAATGTAAGTTTTAAAATAGGGGTTGGCTGTGTTTATTACTATGAGTATATTTTTGTGATCTAAGTGACAAAAGATAGGAGAGGATATAATTTATCTCTCAGATTTTGGTTTGAAGACCTGAGAGTGGTTTTTCTTCTTTCTGTATTTTATTTTACTCTGGAAGTGTGTGTGTGTGTGTGTGTGTGTGTGTGTGTGTGTGTGTGTCTGTGAGTGTTATGTTTCTCATGCACACTGTTCTACATTTGTGTAGTTTGTTTAAAAATTATCACTCCTGGGTTGGGGCTGGAGAGGTGGCTTAGCAGTTAAGAGCACTGGCTGCTCTTGCAGAAGACCTCTAGGTTTGAGTACCAGTGCCCAAATGGTAGCTAACCCCGTCTGGAAACTCCAGTTCCACCCTCTTCTGGCCTCCATGGGCATTTCATGACACGGGTACACCTACCTACATGCAGGCAATACTTACACACATAAAATTAAAAAAAAACATATATATATATATATATATATAGATATATATATATAACTCCTTGGGGAGGAAGAATACCAAAAAATATGAATGAAAAATTTGAGAATAATATTATTTTTCTCTTTTTTTTTCAGTTTGAACAGAAAAGTGGTGCAGTTTTTGATGAAATTGTAGAGAACTGTAAGTACCATTTGAGAAAAAAGTCGTCTTTAGATAGATGTTAATCTGGATAAAACCTTTAACCATTAGATTGTTTAGTTAGTGTTGAATTATGTAGTGGTAGAGTTTAACTTAGCCTCATTTCCTGGTAGTACTTCAGCAGATTAAATTGAGTTGTTACATTCTTTTTATTTTTCAGTAAATATTCTTTCAGTTTTTAATGTGCTAAATACGGCAATACTTTATGCCAGTGTGAATATGTAGATTACACTTACCATTTTTAAAGGTTTCTACTTTGTAGTCTTTTTGCTCTTTAGATTTCTGTGTAATAATATTACACATAATAAAAAGTAATTTTTGTTCTTTTAATTATAAAAGTAATACATTCAATTTACAGTATAGAAATGAATAAAGTAGAAGGTAAAAGTTTTTGTTATCATTTTTCAAAAGATAGTTTAAGAGCTTAATTAATATATCTTTCCAGACTTTTTCTGTGATGTATATATATAGATAGTTTATGGTGTGTGTGAAGAAATTATATGAATGCTGTTCCTGGTTTTCTTTAGACATTTTTCTGTATCAATGGATATAGACCTATTGCATATATCCTTTTAATGGCTACTGAGTTTTTTATTGTAGGGCTCTACTATAACCAGCTTGTTTTTTATAAACAATTTCAGTTTTTTCATTATTATGAACAGCACTGAATAAGTTTTAGATTTTTATATATACCATTGTATCCTTGTTCAAAGATTTAAAAAATTACAGTTTTTTGGTCTTTTTTCAGACAGGGTCTTCCTGTAGCCCCAGCAGGCCTGGAACCTCATTATGTAGACCAAGCTGTAGAATTCATAGAAATCTACCTGCCTCTGCCTCCTGATTGCTGGGACTAAAGGCACATACTTTTTCATCTAGAATTTTTGTTCTTTTTTTTTTTTTTTTTTTTTTTTAAAGATAGGGTCTCACTGTATAGTAGTTGCTTGCCTGGAACTTGCTATGTAGACTAGGCTAGCCTGGAATTCACAGAGATTCTTTTCCACTATAGTGCTGGGATTAAAGGCATTCACCACCATGCCCAGCTTTTTCTTTTTTAAGTTTACCTCCACTCATAGGATTTGTAAGTACATTCTTACTCTTTGTGATTAGTTTGGTAATTTTTTTAATGATAATAGTTTTTTTTTTCTGTTACTTGTTATTGATAGATAAATAGTTCTTCTGATCTTCAGTGGATTTAGTTATTAAATGTCCTTTTTGTTGTAAGCAATAAATATAGTCTACCTAGAAGAAACATTTGTTTTGATTGTAAGGATTGATTTCAGGGCCTCACACATTTTAAACAAGCACTCTATCACTGAACAGTATTATCCCAGCTCCAGAAAAAAAAATTTACATGTCCATTAGACTATTTCACAGAAATTAATGAGGTAATAAAGAACAAATTTCTTTCTGAGTCCTCAGCAAAAAGAATATTATAGACCACTGTCTTTGCAGCGATTTCAGAAAACTGTCATGTTTGATGGACTTTTTTCTTTTGTTCTCTTTTGGAGATGGGGGTCTCACTATGTATCCCTGACTGACCTGTAACTCACTATGTCAGTGAGGCTAGAGATCTGCCTGCCTCATCCCAAGTGCTGGGACTAAAGGTGTCTGCTACTGTGGGTAGCTTGATTGATTTTTTTAAGATTAAAAGTCTATAGACTGATTTAATACTGTACTTGGGGAAATATAACTGGAAGTTTATTCTTTTGAGGTTCTAGGTTATTTTTATATTTTGTGTTTAAAATTTTCTGACATTTACTTGAAAGTGTAAAATCACATATTCAGAAATAATCGGAGTCAGAAAATTAAGCAGTCCTTCAAATACATGAGTACTTTGCAATTAGCAGAAATGAAGTTTTGTAAATTACAGTAATTTTAATAAAAAATGGTACTCATACGTATTTTAATTATAGAGTAAATACTTCCCTGTCATTTTATTTTTACTTTTTAAAATGCATATTAATTTGAAATTGCAAGCTCCTAGAAAAAAGATTATGACTAGGCTACCTTGATTTTTCTGCTCATCTTTGAATTAATCATCAGTGGTCAGGAGAACAGGGAAAGATACCATAGTAAGACAAAGCAAGGCAGGACATAGCCCTCTGCTTTGACTTCTCTTTTTCACCTTATTTCTCTAACCAGATAATTTTGAATATCTCTTGTAAACATATCTTTGTCTGGAATTGTATGGAATATGTAGACCAGGATAACCTCAAATTCATGGAGATCTGTCTGCCTCTGCTGAGATTAAAGGCATGTGCCACCACATGGTGCTGATTAATTTATTTTTATTATTTCTTTAAGTCATACAGGGTTACCTTAAGGCCATCTTCATAAAAATGTATCATGTGCTTTGAACAGATTTCAAATCCTGAAGTGATAAGGATAGTGTACTATGTAGATAATCAGAAATTTTCCATTACCAAAGGTGATTAGGGTCTTCTACTTTGACTTAGGATTTGTTTCCTGGGAAAAAAGAGATTGTTATATTCATCTCAGTTTCTCAAAGTAACTATTATTGTGTTAGACTTACCACATACCGATTGCTCAAGACTGACAGAAGAACATGGAACTTCAAACAACTTGTTCTGCAGTTCAGTTCTGCCCTCCTAAAGTATATATAACCTTTTTGAATCTTTCCTCAAAATATAGTTACTAGCCAGGGGTGGTGGTACACACGTCTTTAATCCCAGCACTCTGGAGGCAGAGGCAGGAGTTGTTTGAGCCAGCCTGGTCTACATAGAGAGTTCCTGGTCAGGTAGTATTACATAATAGGTCTACTATAATCTGCTAATTATTGGCATACATAAACGGACAGCTTAATTCCAATCCCGTTTCAGCAAGTTTGTCTTAAACAAGAAAAAGGAAGATTGACTTTCAAAGTTAAAAAATTTTTTAAAAAAATATTTTATTTTTATTTTATGTGTATAAATGTATTGCCTGCATGCATGTGAGTGCACCTGTGTCATGCAATGCCTTGGAGGTCAGAGAGGGCTTTCAGTTCCCCTGGAACTGAAGTTAAGGAGGGTTGGTAGCCACCATGTGGGTGCTGTGAATCGAACCTGTGTCCTCTGCAAGAGCAGTCAGTGCTCTTAACCGCTGAGCCATCTTCTCCAGCCCTGAAGTTAAATTTTTTTTAGTGAATAGGAAAAAAAAAGTTTTCATTTTATGCAGGTGAAGAGAAAGCAAGGTTGTTTAATTACAGCTCATTTACCAGAAGAATGTGTGTTGAAGATTTTTCAAGATGCGTGGTGACAAAGTGGGTTATTTTGAATTTTTAATATTAAACTTCTTTATTATTTATGTATTATTTTTACTTTATGTGTATGAATGTTTTGTTTGCATGTATGTAAGTGCACCACATGGATAGGCCAGACTTTGGCGTTGGGTCCCCTGGAGCTGGAGTTACAAACAACCATATAGATGCAGGGAACTGAACTTGGGTCCTATGGAGAACAGTGAGTGCTCTGAACTGCTGAGCCATATTGCCAGTCTGTATTACCTTTTTTAAGAACTATTATTTAGGGCTGGTTGTTGTAGTGTACACCTTTGATCCCAGCACTTGGGAGGCAGATCTCTCTGAGGTCCAGGCCAGCCTGGTCTACATAGCAAGTTCTAGGCCAACTTGGGCTACAGGGAGACCCTATGTCAAAAGACCAAAAAAACCCCTCAAAACTCTAATCTAGTTTACATTAGGATAGCAGCAGGTTCCACTCTGGGTAGTGGAAGCATAGACATTTCTCTTTGTTTTATTTACTTATTTTTTGATTTATCTTTTTTTTTTTTGAAACAGGGACTTGCTGTAGCTCCAGCTGGCCTCAAACTCGCTATGTAGACCAGGGGCTGGCCTTGACCTCACAGAAATCCACTTGTCTTTATGCCTCCGGAGTGTTGGGATTAAAGGCATGTGCTTATGCCTGACCCGCTTGTTTTAATTGCAGTTAAATTTATTGTGTGTGTGTGTGTGTGTGTGTGTGTGTGTGTGTGTGTGGCGGGGGAGGGGGTGGTTATCCATCTCACAGTGCTCCATGTGGAGATCAGAGGATGCTTTGGAGTTGGTTGTCTCCTACCTTTACTTGGGTTTCAGGGATTGAACTTAGGTCTCTAGACTTGCAAGGCAAGTGTCCTTTGCCCTGGAAACTTCTCATTGGTCTCTTGTTTATTTGAGACAAAGTCTCATTCTGTGGCCCAGACTGCCCTGTTACTCTGCAGCTCATGCTGACCTCAAACTTGCAATGATCCTTTTGCCTTTGCCTCCTTCCTAAGCGCTGGAATTACAGATGTGAGCCATCATACCTGGCAGAAATTTATTTTTCATAATAAAGATGCCAGGATGATACTAGGGCTTTGTTGTGGTCATCATAAATCCAGGGCTTTGGGACTAGAGAGATGGCTCAGCAGTTAAGAACACTGGCTGCTCTTGTTGAGGACCTGGCTTTGATTCCCAGCACCCACATGGTAGCTAACAGTAACTCCAGTTCCAGGAAATCTGATGCCCTCTTCTGACATTCACGAGCATTTACACAGGTGCACTTACATACATGCGGCAGTATGCTCATACACATTAAAAAAAAACAAAAAACCCAAAACAAAAGCAACAATCCAGGGTCCTGAATCATACACTTTGTGCATGCCTTCCATATTTATGACCGCTGCATCCTCTGTCCTGGGACGAGATATGAAGTAGAAGAAAAAAACACATTTCTAAACTGAATCAGCTACTTCTGTTGGGGGATAGGATCTCACTTTGTAGTTCATGTAGGAAAATATTGAAACAAAAGCTTTAAATTTATTTAGAAATATAACACTGGAAGAAAATTGAAAATTTTACTTGAAAAAGAACATAGTTTTCAATAGTTTAATTCATTATAGTTAAACTGTACTACAGTTTCAGTGGACTTAGTAGATAATAGAATATTTTATTCAACAGAGACAGAATACATTTCTTCTCAGCAATCTATGCAACCTAAAATGCAGTACAC